TCATGCGTGAGTGTATGTGACGTCCTCTCCGGCGTCAAAGAACTCCATAGTATTTGTTGGTTTGGTTCCCAATTGTTATCACAAGTGATTCCGGCTCTCCACTCAACACAACCGACAAATTTGATTTGATTTTGAAATTTTCTGCAAAACTGTGTATTTTTAGACAATTAAAAAATATGAAAATACTTATCAGGAAATAGTGTGAAGTTTTCTAATCTATATTCTAGTTGTCTCTTTAAATGTGTTGTCTGTACTCTCGCTAATTTAATTTACCGGCATTTAAATAATATAAAAGACTAGTCATCATTAGAAATTATTTTCTACGATATTATAGTTGTTTTTTAGTTTTTAGTTTTAAATTTTATTGATCAAAGCAAAGTTGTCATTTAACCAATAATCAAATTCGGTCCACTAACAAACTGGACAATAATACTAACTAAATTATATGTGATTTACCATTAAGTGAATAACTGAATAAGTGCTACTGGGTCTTTTATTATAACAGTAAAATGCCACATATTAGAAGATCTGTAAGTTTGAAATGAATGCATTAGTTTATATATATATTTAATATTTTTATTATTATAAGACAAGAGAAACATTATATTCTATTTACTATGTTTTGTCTGCTATTCTACTCTTTGCAGTATAATTCATATATCGATCGATTGCACATTATTTGCAGCACAGAATTTCAAAAATCGATATTTAGCTGTACCGTACTGTGCATTAAAGTACCGGTACTTGAGACAGGCAGACACTCCTCACATTCAATCCTTTCTATTGGTTAGAATAATGTGTGTGAGAGTCAAACCTCCCTTTAGTAACTTTCCTTCATATTCTGTACACAAATTCTTTCAATGTCTTCAAGAATGATGCCATCAATTCTTGTTTTTCATCACCACTTTTAGTCATTTACATTAAGAACATTAAGAATCCAATATAATAAAAATAATAATATATTTGTATCTTATTGTCAATTCAACTGAATGCATAACTTTTACAAAGCACACTTTATTTATATAAATATTCTTAACCATCAATTATTGAAATGAATTTAATTTTTCATTTTAGTTTCTAAAACAATAAAAATATGGTTTAATTTCAGGGACTAAACAGTCACTTAGTGTTTGCCATATCTGCGGCGGCATTGGGTTCATCCTTCCAACACGGATA